ACAAAAAAAAAAAAAAAAAAAAATTAGACCTGGGCTGGGGATTTAGGTCAGTGGTTCTGCCACCTGTCTCGAAAGCACAAGGTCCCAAGTTTGATCCTCAGTACACAAAAAAATCAGACCTGGGCTGGGGATTTAGCTCAGTGGCGTAGAGCCTGCCTCACAAGCGCAAGGTCCTGAGTTTGATCCCCAGTACCGCCAGAAAAAAAATTAGACCTTCAAGTGATCTAATTAATCTTTGTTTTATCATTCCAACTGGCCTCATTAACCACAGAAATACATAACTGTGTGATCTGAACTCTACTGACTGGTTCACTGAGTTGGCCACATTCCTTTGGAAGTGATCAAGTAAATTTTGTTTAGGAAGGTAAAGAACCTGGATAACAGCCTCCATTCTATGATATACAGCCTTAGGTTCTCGGAGCAAGTTATCTAAATGCTCTGAAGGTGTTTCCTTACTTGCTAAAATAGGGATAAGAAAAAGGAAAGAAAGGGGCGGGGGATTTAGCTCAGTGGTGCCAGTGCCTGCCTCCTAAGTGCAAGGTCTTGAGTCCAATCCCCCATACAAAAAGATAAAAATAGGAGCAATGAAACATAAGGATTGCAAAAGATATGCCAATTACACTGATCTGATTATTACTTTATATACGCACGTTGAAATGTCACACTGTATCCCATAAATAAGTACAACTACTATGTCACTTAAAAATTAAAATAGGACAATGAAATCTCCCTTGCAAGGCTGTGTATATCAGAAATGATATATCAAGAACCTAAAATGTGGCAGTGGTTCAGCAAATGGAAGACCCCCCACTACCGGGGATGGAACTCGGGACCTTGTGCTTGCAAGGCAGGGGTAGTGCCACTGAGTTAAATCCCCAGTCCCCTCTCTCCCTTTGAGACAAGGTCTCACTATGTAGTCCAGGTGGCCTTGAACTAAGTGTATATAGCACAGGCTGACCTCAAACCCACAACAATCCTTCTACTCAGTCTCTAGAGTGCTGGGATTACATGTGTGGACCACCAGGCCAGGCTGTAAGATATCGTTTCTAACCTGAAATATTCAGTTTATAATTTGGTTGGCAGCATACTACATAACAGCTCTAAAATCTTTTAACTCAGAGCTTAAATCCAATTAATTCCCTCTTTTATAAGACATGGGGATTTAGTCAGTGGCACCGAGCCTGCCTTGCAAACTCAAGGTCGAGTTCCATCCCCAATACAGAAGGGGGGGAGTGAGTTACATAGTAAGTTCAAGGCCAGCCGAGTACATACCAAGACCTGACTCAAAAACCAAATAAAAATAATTTTTAAAATATGCAGGCAGTATATAAAGAAACTGCACCCTTTCCCAGATTTTTACTACCCAAAAGCAAGCTTCATCTTAAAAGTTACTTATCAAGGGCTAGGGATTTAGCTCAGTGGTTCCGCCGCCTGCCTCACAAGCAAAAGGTTCGATACCCAGTACAAAAAAAAAAAAAAAAAATTTACTTATCAAGCACCTCACTTCTTTACGTTGGAAATAATTGTCAAGAAAAAGAAAAGAATTTTTACTTCTTTCAAGACATTACTTTTGCACCACAGGAAAAAAATAAGCATCCACCACAAAATGTTTCCATACAAATTACAAAAGAACGGCTCATAAGCAGTGTGAAAATATGACAAGCTCATTTCAAACTGTTACTGAAAATAACCATCTTACTGTTTGCTGGACCTAAGAACACTCAAATAACTTAAGTGTTATAGGTCAGAAGCTTGGAATAATATTGCAACTTTTGATGGGAAACTGTTGGCATATTTAATGGCATTTAAAGAACTTAAGGCCAGGTGTGGTGGTGCCCACCTGTGGTCCCAGCACTCGGGAGGCTGAAGCAGGAGAATCACTGTGAGTTCGAGGCCAGCCTGAACTAACTACATGGTGAGACCCTGTCTCAAAATACCAAACATACCCCCCAAAAAACAACAACAACAAAAAAACCCCAAAACAACAACACTTCAATGTCAGTGTTGGAGTGTCAAGAGGTATCTTTATTAAAGTCCTGGCCTTTCTCTCTTCCAGTTTTTTCCTTGAAACACACAAAACTGCACATTACATGCTCCAGGGAGTGGAAAGAGTTCACCTGTATTACACAAAGTAGAGATTTTGGTTAGTCCAAGTGGCCTCCAGGTGGTTTTACTTTGCCTTAAAAGAATTTGAAAACTCTGAAGGGATTATTGAGTCAACTTTAGTCCAGTAAGTGTCTCTTCCCACCTATCTGGATCTTGATCTGGAGCTAATTTCCAACACGAGTGGGATATGGGTTCCAGTACCAGTGTGGTAAACGATAAAATCTGGACCCCTAGGGGCTGGGGCTCAGTGGTTCGGCTGCCTGCCTCGAAAGTGCAAGGACCCGAGTTCGATCCCCGGTACCAAAAAAAAAAAAAAAATTTACTTATCAAGCACCTCACTTCTTTACGTTGGAAATAATTGTCAAGAAAAAGAAAAGAATTTTTACTTCTTTCA